AATATGCAGATATGATCTTGAACTTCATTCTGTCTTTTTCTTTTTCTTTTTCTTTTTTTTGATGATAGTTAAACCACATACTTACCAAAAAAAATAAAAATAAATAAGACTTGTCGAGAATTATTTGTAGTCTAAATTTTTTATAGATTATGAAATTGAAAATGATACTTATGCTCATTCAATGATTTTTATTACAGGAAATAAGACAATATGAAAGCATAAATAATGGACGTCATTTCTCGATTCGAACATTTTTCATGGAGGTCTTATTAAAATGGCATCATGAGTAATACTTTTGAGTACTATTGTCATGTGACAAGTTTATTGTGTGTTCCTTTTGGATTATGGTGTGGCTATTAGTTTGCTAGAAATATTTGATCTATTTTGATATGCAAGCTTCTGTAATGAACCTTTAATTAAGGTGTTTTGATGTTTGGATGTTTTGGAATTATGAAAATATAACTCTTTTACCTTTTACAATTATTGAGTATTGAGTAATTAAAAAAAAATAGTGCTTTTAAGATATATAATGTGAGCAGGGATTAGGGAGACAACCATTAATGTGTTAGGAAAGCATTGAAAATTTCAAGCTATATATTATTGGTAATTGAATAGTAAACATAGCCTATAACTGCAGTTAATAGCTGTCACTGCAAATAAAATTCAAAAAGAATTCTATAGCTATTGCGATAGTGTAAAACTGATGGAATAGAGTCAAAATATAGCAGCAGTTCACAAAACGTCGCAAAAGCGAATGATATAGCAGCAGTCAACTCGTCGCTATAAAGTTATCAAGTAATGAGCAATTTAAGATATAATGACATTTGTAACTGTCGCTACATCAACTGTCGCAATAAAAATAACTATCCAGCATTTGAAGAAAATGTCACTATAAGGATATGTTGACGGGGCTATTGTGGCGGTTTGGCCACTTGCTTATTTCAACCACGAGTAAAGGTCTTCTTGTTTAGCAACGCTTTTTCAACTTTAAGCAACAGTTTTGGCCGCTGCTAAAAGTGATTTTTTTTGTTGTGAAGATACACTATGGTACTACATATATCCATGGATTAATTCAATTGTGTTCCCATATTTAAAAATCTAAGGATAAATTCATAAATTTACCTCAGCAATGGTTCCTTTGAGTCCACTAACTAATATATGAGCCACTATAACATGTAAAGTTTTTAGAGGCAAATGTTTTGGTCTCAAAAGTGAATATTTTGTTGCAAATAAATTTAGGGACCAATTTCCATCGTTATGAGATAGTCTCTTAAAGGTCGTCTCAAAAAGTAAAAAAACAAGGCTTTTGCGACAAAATTTGAAAATGTCACTAATAAATACACTTTTAGGGTCAAATAATTTGGTCTCAAAATGGTTTATTTTTTTAGACAAAAAATTTGGTCCCAAAAAGATTAATAATTCATCACTATGTCTAATTTTGTTGCTAAAAATATAATACAACGCAACAAAATTATTTGATCCCTAAAAATAATTTTACTCTAAATTTTGGTCTCTAAAACCTTAATCTTTTGTAGTGAGCCTTGCTCAGCCTAAAATCAAATTTCACAATCAGAGAACATAACTTTACTTTGAAATTCAAAACTCATGCATCATAATCATGAAAATTAACCTAAATGAAGCATTTATTCAAGGACAATTGAATTTAAATGAAGTCCACAAGCGAAACCCAAAAATGTGCAAAGTTGCAAACAGTATATCTATACATATAGGAGTAATTGCAACAAAAAAAATAAATTAAAAATAACAAAAAGCCCAAAATTTTACCGTTATAATAAAATAACCCCGATTTTTAAATTTTATCATTTAAATTCTAATCTTTTCATTCGTTTTAATCTAAACTATTTGCGTATTTCTATTAAGTAAAATTGGAAAATTATTTTCATTCATTAAACTCAATGTAGGCTACCACTACTAAAACTTTGACTTTTTGCGACGGTCTCAAACGTCGCAAAAGGTCCATATATCGTCGCAAAAGGCTTTTTGCGACGGAGCAGCGACGGAAAATGGGGGTGGCGGAAAGGGGCGTGACAAAAAGTATTTGCGACGGTTACAAACCGTCGCGTTCTTGTTGTGACGGCTAATCAATAGTTTTTGCGACGGTTTCGCCTGACACAAGAAAAGGGAAAAAATGGCATTTTTGTGACGATGTTGATTGCCGTCGCCAAAAAACCTTTTTTAGCAATGGTATTTGCCGTCGCAAAGGTATTATTAGCGACGGTCTAAAACGTCACCAAAAAAGTAGTATTAAGTTAATACCGTATTGGCAACAGTTGAAACCGTCGCAAAAGATTTATTTGTGACAGTTGAAACCGTCGCAAAAGATTTGAACTATTATGTATATGCGACAGGTTAACCCGTCGCTAATAAAATATAAGGAAATGAGAATTACATTAGCGACGGTTTATTATTGTCGCACAAAAATTACTTTTTATAAAATTATATTTTATTAAATATTTCCTATACAAA